CAGGCCAATGCCAGTGTGTCTGTATGCAGATTCGGTTTGATTAACTGACGATAATGTACGTTCCTGAATCATAAACTTGCTGCTTGTGTAAACTCCAAGAACATGAATGATTTTAATGCAAGGGCAGTTGTTTTCAAATCGTTGTGATTATTTGTTTGTTTGTTGATGGTATTTATACAGCGAGAATCGCTAAAGCACTTTCCATCCTAGGCATATTTTTAAACATTGAGCTAATAAAAATATTTTATTTCCCGCTCAACGTCGAGTTTTATTTACCTGCTTACTACAAGATGTTTTTTGTTCATTTATAGGACCAAAGATAATTACTATAAGATAAAATACACGACACCTTCTAAAACAAGATTTATTTATTGGCAATTTGTCAAGTGTCGAGATAATAAATCCTAAAATAGTGTACAATAATAGTGATTGTTATTATTATTGTATTGTTATTAACAGTTGACCTTTTGGTGCAAGTGATGAGTTTGAATAATTGCGTTATTACTTCACCGTGATTATAAACAATGATATCTGAAGCCTCCCAATCTATGTAAAATTAATGATCAATAATCTATTGATATTAAATATGATATCATTTATAAGACTTTCTCCAATAAAGTCGATTATAATCAATCTTGGATGGAAACGTGATGATCCTGCAAAAATGCCGACACAGTTCTTCTCTTCAGCAACGAAGGACATGACCAGACAAACAAATTATTAAAACCGATTCTTCTCTCTTGAAACTCCATTTTCATATTGGTTTAAGCTATTATCGACGAATGCGGGTTTGCATAACTTGAGTAAATACTGTTCGTTTACATTCTGCCTTTAAGAGAAACGTTCTGTTTGATTTGACTGATCCAAGAAACATCCGCAACAAGGTGTTGTTACACAAAATATGCTTGACATGTTCGATACCATTGAAAATATTATCGTTTTCCGTTGATAGTAGGCGTACTGATGGGCTAGTTGAGGTAGGTTAATAAGTCATTATCGTTGTCGAGAATTGAATATTCATTTTACGGCATTTACGTGCGAATTTAGTACTAGTGAAATCTGTTTGATGTAATTCTGAATAGTGGCCGCCTGAACTGCCATTTATTACCCTGATCGATTATCTATTGCATCAATCAGCAGATGATCACAATTGATTTTCCGTAGGAATATTTTAAAGAAAATGTTTGGGTTTAAGTATGAGGCTTCTAATGTTTAAGTGTAATCCCATATACTGTTTATTATTTCGGACAAAGATATTTTAACGAGGTAATGATTTTTTCAATGATAATATATTAGCAGTTTTATCCAATTACTTAGCAAGGGCTTGGGTGATTCAATTTTCTAATATTGTGTATTAAACTTTGATTAATTATGCCTAGTGGTAGTTTCGAAAAAGCAAACAAAGATAGTGAAGTTTTAGTAAAGTACCGAATTGAAATCCCTTTTGAAGTGCCTATAATGTTTTCCTATAAACCGGCGTTTGCATTTACCATTTTCAATTTAAGAATTTCGAAGTAATATACCTTAACTGGAATATTTAGAGTTTGTTTCACTCGAAAATATTTACAATTAATAATCGTTTTCATAAATACTTATAAATGGCCATGTAATCCATTCGTTGCATCACTAGTGATGTAATAATGTGAAGGCGTAAATTTTGTTCCATCAGTATCTTGAACATTTTATTACATCATGTTTTTCTAAAATCCTTAAACTACATACAAACATCTTCTTCGGAATAAAACATGAAATGTATTAGCAGACATTAACCCTAGTTCGCCTCAATCCAACATCAATGCTCTATTATATTAAGCGGTATTCGTAAAAACTGTTATTCCAGACATTGAATTATCGGCTAAAATATAGAAATAACTTCCAAACAATTGTCTATTCCCGAATTGAAAATCCGCCAATAACTGAAATGCCTTAAATAGCTGGACAGAGCGGGCCCCCTTTCCAGAGATAAGGAATCCGAAATGTTCAACTTATTTTAGGAATTATAGGATCGTGCGTTTGGCAAGCTCTTCGTTTCTGCTGACCGAGTCTTTAATAGCTATTAAGAGCCGTTTCACCGATGTAAGTAATAGGAAAATTGAGACATTTTTTCTCTTGGTTTTGTCATAAATTTTAGGCATGAGGGCCATAATGGCCTTGGTGTGCAATAATGAAACTGTTAGAGAAAATGGGAATTTCCAAGCGTGATTTGTTGATTCGAGCTGGCGATACTCTATTTTATATTTGCTATATTTTAACAGTCGATTTGGATTTGTTGTCCATTAAACCAAAGAAGCAGAGGAGAAACGAGGAAATAATAAAAAACGCATTTTTATTTCGATGCTCGAGTCCAGAAGTGTGCCTTTTCTAGAATAAAGATATTTGAAAAAG